TTGCCTATACCTCTGAGTATTTTCTTTTGTAGTATGAATAGTTTTTCAATATTAGTTAACGTTGTGTACCCCAAACGAGGTAGCAGTAGGCTAAGTGGGAGTAAAACAAAGAGTTATAGATCAAGAGTTTCACATTTGTTGGCAATATGTAACGGTAGCAATTCACAATCCCTACCACGCGAGCCAGTTTTGGAATAATATAGTTGACATGGCTATCCCAGGACATATTTTCACTAAAAAAATACTCCGAGAGTTTTAAAACAACTGACTATTTCAATTCGAGACGAATTAAAACGGAGAAGCTTAGACACCACTACAGGTTTATTTTTTGGACGAAAAATAATAGCTTTTGTTTTACTGTTTACTGTCAACGAGTTCATCGTCACAGGCCTCAAGATTATTCGCTACCTGAGGGGACTTAAACTGCGAGCCATTGCCCGACGGAACATGAACATTGTCAGTCACGCCGCCCTCTGCGACCCGAAGGGTGATTCACGACGTTCGACTCGAGCTGAACTATGCTCCATAGGACTCTCCGTAGTTTGCCCTTCTCTTGTTTTGCATTGTCAATTTCATTTTGTGTTGCATCGGGTTTGAAAATGCACCAGCGTGATTGTGACTGTTTCTTCACACACACACACACACACAAAAAAAAAAAGAAACATGTAGAGAGGAAAGTTCTCTGTGAAACGAATTGAACAACGAAAAGTCCAATATCTTTTCAAGAAATACATACAGTAAATAAAAAAATTGCTCTTTTTTTTTTTTTTTTTCTCTCAAAATCATTTATGGACGTGCATATTTCGTCCATATTCTCGAAATTACATCGTCAACATCAGAATATTTTTCGTGTAAAAAAAAAAAAAAATGCTCGGTTAAAGTTTAAAATAAATATAAATCAAACATGCTCACTTTATGCTTAATTTTTTTTTTTTTTTTTTAGGTTAAAGTTTGCAAACTTTTTTGCCGGGCCTCTTCCAGGCCGGGTCGGGCCAGGCCTGGAAATTAAATATTCTGTAGGGTTCGGGTCGGGCTCTGGGCGTGCCTCTACCGGGCCGGTTCGGGTCGGGCCGGGCCTAGAAATTCAGGCCCGTGCAGTGCTCAGCTGGCACTTTGTGATGTAACTTGTTATGCAAAAAAACAATGAGGTCTAAAAAAAAAAAAAAATTCTGGTTTATTTATAAATTCTAACCTTGTTCCAACCTGGTTTCTTCGGTACTTAATGCTGTGAAGATTTTTTTTCCTTGCTATTATTAGTCGGACCGCTCTGTAGGCCTTACCGTTTCTTTAAATTGCCCGAGACTGGGGCGACAAAACTATGAAACATCCAAACGTGGAAGAGAAAGGCGAAGTGACAGCTTCACTTTGCCTTTCTCTTTCACGTTTTTCACGCTTTCTCTTTCCTTTTCTGTGACCAAACCCGCGCGGAAAGGACAGAAAAACAAAATTGACAAGCAGCAGTAAACAAAACTATGTGTCACCGTTGAAAAGAAAGGGCAACGTCGCGACTGGTTTGGACAAAAGAAGGACAAAGTTTTAAATTGCCCAAGGGATCTCGGTGGCCAGCTGCTCTATGACCTCCGAGATCCCGGAGCGCGTGGCTGGCGTGGCTGCTTTCAGGCGCTTCAGACCAATAGGCTAGGTGGCGCAAGCCACCGCCTGATCCGAAGAAAAGTCGCCATGCATTATGCATCCACCCATGCGTCTACTACGTGCATTGCAGATTGCACACTGCACACATGGCACACTGACACACACCGCACACGCACACGCCTCATAAGACAGGATGATGGAAAGGGAACGTTGACTGTACTCTTGTTATCTCCGTGTGACTTCGGCTCCTTGGGTCCTCGGTTCGAATGCGTGTGCGTTATATCAAGGGTGATAAGGAGTGCTCCCAGCCCTCCGGGCAGTGCGATCCTCAGCCTCTTTAAACAAAGTGATATCGGTTCTTCGCTCTGTAGCGTTCCTCTCTGTCGCATGAACTTTCTCTCTGTGGAAGTGTTGGAACGTCGCTCGTATGATTATAGAGGACGTTCGTCATTTCGTCGTTTCTTCGTGATCCTGTGATGTGGCATTCTGAGCAGGTGAGAGTTTACCATCCCTTTGGCTTTGCCAAGTTCTTCGAGTGGCAAAGCGATCTGGCTTATGTCAGGTTCACGTCTCGCATGTGTCTTTAAGCCCGTACCCTTTCACTATCCGTTTTGCAGGCATGACGACTTCAGTGTCTCCGGCGGAGCGAGTTCCTCGCACAGTATTTGTGATATTTATTTATCTGGTGATTGACCTGCTGGGCTTCACCGTGATCCTACCGTTACTGCCTTCGATCCTCGACTATTACAGCCGCCACGACAAGGTGAGGAATGCGTGCGGCGCTACCATTTGACCTGAAAACGGGCTTCGTGTGTCGGGACGGCTGCCGCCGTGCATGACGGCTACGGGGATCACGGCGGATGTTCGGCGCGTAACGATCGGAGCGTTTGCGTGCAGCATCTGTGGCAAATGTCGCACGCGTTTTCCGGCTTCTGCATTGATACATTGATTCTGGGAAGTGGGACAGGGAGGCACAGCTGTTTACTGTTCCTCTATCTTTTCCGTAGACCCTGTTTGCTCATGTTTGTGGAGTCATGCTCGTATGACTGTAGCAAGCGGCCGCTAGTGCTGTAAAGGGAACTCCGTTACGTTTTTTTTTTTTTTTTTTTTTGTAATTTCTAACGACGCTGTCGATTGCATCCGTAGCTTTTTCACGTGGAACTTTCACCTCACTTGGCAACACGAGTCCAACAGTCCTTCACTCTTTAAGCTGACTGCCTTTCCATAAGACTAGCTTGTTGCCACTTGGTTACTTTATGTATGCTCTGGCAGATTTTGAGCGAGTGTGGTGTTTTACTGACTGGGGCCAATGAACCCCCCTAAACATTGCATATAATTTATATATATCTCAATACTGTAATTTAGTGGAACCGGGTATGCTATGAATAACTGGTTCGATTTCTCAGTAGATGCATTTATTCTCTAGATTATCTTAGATCTAGAAAGAAGCACATCTCATTGCTCAGGTCTCAGTGATGAACAAAATGGCAGATTTTATGCTAACACCCACTTGTTTGTGAGCATGTTTTATCACCAAAAAAGTCATTGTG